GGATTACATGCTTGATGAGACTTTGCTTTCTAAAGTTGAGGTCATATCACCTCACATGTAATACCTGCCCCCTGTTACTCAGGCTCATTGTTGCTCATTAACAAGCTTCTGTTCTCCCTGAGGCCTTGTCGTAACGAGGTGTGTAGCTGCCAGCCAAACCTGCTTCACGTGACACTTCAGTTCGGTGTTATATTCCAAACGCTGATTCTCTCCACTTCCATCATGTTCTTACCTCGATTCCCACCTGAGAGGCTCACCACACATATGGTAGTAGAGCCCTTCTCTAGTATGGGTCTCATTGAATTCTTCATTTTGGGGGCCTTACTAGTTAAACTTAAAGATCTTAACTCCAGACAGTGCGATATGGATATAATATGTTCCAGATGCCAGGTTTATATACCCAAACCGTAGAAATGACTTTTTCTTTAAAAAATAAGAATAGTGTAGCATGGGAAGCTTCAATTTAGAAATGTTATAGGTATGTATTCTTTCAAATTTGTGGATAAAATGTAGTCTGGAGTATTAACTGATCTGCCATGGAGGCTATTGCACCACTGTTAAACTGCCCTCAGAATCATTGCAAAGACTTGTGGTCAGAAACTTAACAGCAGGGCTTTAGAGTTTTGATTATGCAGAGCAGTAAAGTGTTTGGCACAGATTCAGCACTCTGATTTTAACCCTACTGAGCCCCAATCAATGTACTGTACAGCAGCTCAGAGGAGTCAGCAGTCAGCGAAAACCTAATTTTATGTTTGGAGTTAATGAAGTTAGAAAGACCGCACTTTTAGATAAAACTATTAAACGGAAACTTTGATGCCTGTGTGCCTGAAAGGACTTAAATTGCAAATCAACTAAACCGCTTGGAGGAATATTATGATGTGCATTATCAATTTGCTAAAAAAAAAGGTAATATTTTCCATTGAATGCAGATATTTGTTGTTTTGAAGTTGTCCGACTTTTCCTTGCAGAAATACATGTTGAGGAACCTACCGCAGACAGACCCGGTGACCTTGGAATTACCCCTGTAAGTCTCCGCCATACATACACTGTCTGTGAGAACACACACACACACACACATCCAGCCTCTAACTACCCTTCAACGGGGAAGCAAAGAACCGGTTGCCACGGAAACTGTTGTGTCAGCTAACCTACTTTTACATGAACAAAGGACATTGGCTGATGAAAGAGAGAGAGGTGTATGGTATAGCTACCTGAAGATGAATCATCAGCTCTCACACAGACAAATATGTTCTATATGTTCACGATTACCGTAGGCTGATGAAGATGATGAGTACAGGACGACCAGGTGAACGGAGTGTAAAAATTTGATCTGACCAGATAAATATGTAACTGATTTTCCTCATCAATGTTACACACCAGCCATTTTTCTTTAAGATAAATAAATAAAAAACGAAAGAAATACCAACGTTAACTGACTAAAGTAAGTCTGCATGGGTTGTGTTCACACAAAATCTTAAATACTGACATCTCACTGGGATCAAAGCAACCGTCTCTTTCTTCCCACAAATTGCCGCAAACATGTAGTGTGCATCAGTATCAGACAGAGAGCAAATGTTTATTGATGATTTATGATATGTTGCTGCCTTAGAAAGCCGTTTAACTCTTTCATCACAAAAGATGGAAATAATTCCTAAAAGGCCGGCTTAAATAGCATCCACCTCTGTCACTTATTGACAGTGCAGCATCCCACAGAAAGTCCTCGCTGTCCTGCCTAAACGGATTACAGGGATTTTCATCCAATTATCATTCTTGTTGAGTTCCCGCTCTAGTTCTGCTCTAATTCAGAATCATCAGCTGTGGAGAATTGCGTTAGGCAGATGAAACACACTGGGCGCGAGGAGTGCGATGGTGTGATAAAGAGGGAGAGAGACAGAAAGGCATAGCATGTGTTTGGGCTGGCTGCCAGTACTCGTGGGCCAGTCTACCCATGAAGCATGTAAAGTCAGGGCCTGACAGCAATGGCAGCTTACTTGTTTTTAGCGGTTGAACTGCTGTGGCATCACAATGTTCTGCTAGCACTGAGATGTGAAAAGACCTATAAGGGATGGCAGATTTCCCCTTGATGCAATGAACAGGGATTCCCTTGTGCAGCTGAGATGAAGAAAAAAAAGCTGAAATATTCAGCCCAGATTTGGCACAATACACCTCACCTTCATTTCTCTTGTGTTTGTTTTTTGTTCTCTGCTCTGTTTATGAGCGGCAGATGTTGTTTTTTCCTTCTATTGATTCAGGGGTTGATGGTGACCAGCTGTTTTCTGAAATTAACATTTGTGCATCACATATTACCAAACACAATGTTTAAAGACCAGAATATGTTTTTCCCTGAATTCAGTCCAGTCAGTATGGTATGTGAGTGAGTGTTTTAATTATGCCTCAGGATTACTGAAACCTTTGTTGATAAGCACCGATATTCAAAAATGTGTGTGTGTGTCAGAACCACATTACAACCATGTTAAAAGTAACAATTAAAACCTAATTGATCATTTGGAATTACACTAAACGGTTTTGGTGACTAATGAACTCAGTCTCTTCTTCATTTTCATTCTGTTCCTGAGCAGTCCACCCCCAGCTTTTCATCGTGGGTGGTAAATAGTTGGCCCACCCCTAAACCAGGAAGGCGTCACTGTAGCCACACACACACAAACACTCACACACACGCACACACACACACACAGTTGCCTGACTCACATCCCGGCTCCTCTGAATGTGAGAGCAGAGCAGGTCTGAACAGGTGGACGAGCCAAACAAAGCTACAGTTATGGCTGAAGAGCAAAACCCACCAGTCACTTTCCAAACACTTCACAGTACATTACATTGACTTATTGTCACTCTGACCATTTGCAAAAAAAATAAAAAATAAAAAAGCCCTGATCCCGGCTCTAAGAGCAAATGCAAACTTTTAGTGTAAACTGTAATGTCTCTCTCATGTAGATTCGCAATGTGGCTGTTTAAACAAGTTCATGTCCCAACAATAAAGGTGATTCAAGTATATACACGTACACATACTAATTTCCCATTTCTTTATTCTGTGTTGTGTCTGTCTAATTTGCTATGTCGGTATAAATCTTTAAAGAGTGTTTACATGGATTAACAGGACAGTGCAAGTCTTGAATTAGTCATAATTCAGTCGAATGTCGATTTGTTTGTTTTTTTAAGCATATATTTATCCTCATTACGACCTATTACATTACCAGATTTTTATCCGAACCTTACAAGTTAGTAAAGAACAACAAACTTATATCAAAGATGTCATATCAAACTGCACAATTCAAGATCAAGGCTCTCCCACTGCAAACTATTACACATCTTCTAGAAGTGATCTTTACTGGTTAACCACATACAGTAAATCGTCATGAATTTTTTCCATTGGAGTACATAATATGTGACTGTGTATAGATGCAACTTTTCATAAATGCTTTTATATTCATTAGCAGATTTAAAAAAAAAAGAGTCCTTATCTGAAATCTCCAGAAATCCAATTTCTCCTTGTTATGAAAGGCTTGTTCCAGTGTGTTTTGAAGCTTAGATTCTTGTTCTTTAAATAAAACTGGGTGTGCGCTCACACCTGCTTCTCATACCCCTGATTAAAACACATGACTCTAATTCTGGCCTTAGATTATATTTTAATTCAGTCACAAACCTTTCCAACTAACACATGCATATTAGACTTCTTTCCACAATGTATACATGAAGGATTATAACTTAGTAAACTTAGTAAAAATATTTTTTCAATTATTGTATTTCCATCATATTTATCTGCATTATGCAATTTAGGGGAATGTCATACTGTTGTTTCCTTTTCATCCGTAAAATATGAAATGCTCTCGAAACTTTACAAATTCCAAGGCCAAACCATACATTTTATGGGCAGCTAAATAAACAGTATTGCACTATACTGTACAGTTTTATAAGCCTGAAAAGCATTCTCAGTTTACCTGACCCCATGTCACAAGTTCCATATGGCTTTGCTTTAATTCAGTAATATAAAGGACATGAAGGTCAAATTAACAACAAAAAAAGTGTAAATAGACATAATTGAATAGTTACAGGAGATTTCTGTACAAGGAACCAAGAGTGTATCCACCAGGGGTCACCACAATCCACCATTTTAGCATGACCATCAGCTGGATGTGGTTACTAAGGTAATCAAACGGGTGTCTGCTCATGTCACGCGCGTAACGTGCATTGATAGAAAATCCTTAACGCTCACATAAAGCTTGCCTTAATTCGGTTTAGAACTGTAAGCCTTAAGTTAAACCGGGCTCGACGGACTTTTGTTTCTGAAACAGTGTCGTCTTTGAGTGCTGTAATCCCCGAGGATGTAGAAAAACCTCACAATAATGAGCGACATAACTATTTGTGTTAGCTTCTCACTACAGCAGGTGAGGTGACAAAAGACCCGCGAGACGCGCGAGGCAGGTGTGAATCCAGCCCCCCCCTCTTCTTCTTCTTCGGAGGCTGTTGCCGTGCAGGTGTGAAGTGGGAGAAGAAGAAGAAGAAGAAGCGTACGTTAATGAGAGGTTCGAGGGGCCGCCCGCTTTATGTGGATGTGGCCGCGGGGGCTCTCCGTTCGCTCCGTGAGCGCGCGCCGCAATTGTGATGGGCGCGCGGCAGATGATGATGAGAGCGTGACCTCACCGCTTTTCTGCACAGCTGCTGTGGAGGGGAGCCGAGGGGAGGGGAGGGGAGGCTGGAGGGGGGGGGGTAGAGAGGGGGGACACACACACATGGAGAGCCAGTGAGAAAACAGAAACACGTTGAGTAAGACAGCGAGAGGTCCAGAACAGCGGAGCTCAGTCACAACACACACGGTGGGTGGAGGGGGGGGGGTCTGCTTTTCACGAGTGGGGGACACCGTCGCGGGGGCGTTTGCGGGGCTACCTTCTCGCAGAATGTTCTGCGCCCCCGGTTCATTTCCACGTTACTAGGGAGGAAAAAAAAAAGTCTCCGCGGCGTCTCCACGGACCCCCGAAGCCCAGATGCTCGCCCTCTCCGCCGACATGGACGACTCCTCGTCGCTGCTGGATCTCCTGGAGTGCTCGGTGTGCCTGGAGCGCCTGGACACCACCGCCAAGGTGCTGCCGTGCCAGCACACCTTCTGCCGCCGCTGCCTGGAGAACATCGTCAGCTCCCGGAACGAGCTCCGCTGCCCGGAGTGCCGCATCCTGGTGGACTGCGGAGTGGACGACCTGCCCGCCAACATCCTCCTGGTGCGCCTCCTGGATGGTATCAAGCAGCGGCCCCAGCGAGGGAGCTTAGGGGGAGGAGGAGGAGGAGGAGGTGGAGGAGTGGGAGCGGGCGGCAGGCAGTCCCTGGCCGGGGGCGCTCTGCAGGGGTACGCGGCCGGGATATGCGCCTCCCCGCCGGGCACCGCGATCCGAGAGCTGCCCGTGGCCACCAGGAGCTCCCCCGTCAAGGTTGGTGACTTTTGGTGGTGGGGGGACCTCGTCCAGCCCCGTCTTATCAGCGCACACTTTGTAAAGTGAGGCACTCCAAACACACTTATAACCCACTTTCAGTCATGCAAATCTCCAAACACAACTTTATGATGGTGCTCGCTGCAGCTCGGTGTGCAGGAGCAGAAATGTGCCGTTCGGATGTTTGCATTGCGCAGCTTTGCATCTGCAGCTTAGTTCGGTCCACATTTATAGCCCACATCGTGCCTATTTGTCAGAACAGTAATCGTACAATTGTCTGTTCGTCCAGTGGGGACTAAGAGGGGGAAAATGCACAAGCAAGAGCCGCGTAAAAACGGACAGACGTCTCCTTGCTGTGAAATCCTGTTTTGCCATGCTGTGAACAGACGTCCTGGATATCGTCTGTTAGATGTGATGGGATGTTTCTTGAATGAGCTAAATACGATCATAAAGATCTCTTTGTCATGATGCAATTGATGGATATTTAAGCTGCAACGTGCAGGCAAGAGGAAAAAAGAGGCCAGGCTGCGGAGGCTGACTGGAAGGGTCAGTGTTACAGCTGCTTTCCTCTTGTTTAAGTCCAATTGCTCCCAGGCTGCAGCAGTGTGAGGTTTGGTATCCCACACTCAGTGGGAGTAGAATGCAGTCTTGTTTACTTCCTCTGTCCCCTCAGCTCATTGTCTTGTGGCAGAGCTGTGTTAAAGAATGTGGCTGCAGTGTGGCAGATGTGGCAGACGTGATATCATCAGCACTGAGCTGTGAAAAAAAAGCTTTTTTGGGGCCTTTTTACAAACAATGACATCGCCCGTTGAATTTACGCCATAGTATGAAAAGTTTAAAAAAAAAACCTGAGAATGTTTAGTGGTGCAGATTAAATACTACATGATGTATTGTGGTGGGATGTTGTACTCTGTTCTTGTTTACAGTCTTCCGTAGTTAATTTTAGGCACGCAGTGATTGCTAAGTCAAATAAAGGCACTCCCATTAGCTCTCTTACTCACTGCCCCTACTCAAGACTGGATTTGTCATGTAAACCATCCGCTGACTGAAGCTGTGGAGTGTTTGGTGTGATGATGTGAGCAGCCAGAAGCAGTCGTCCAGTAATAGCAGTGAATGCGAGTTCAAACCCCAAGTGACAGTTCCTCGAGAAGAGCAAAAGCCACACGAAGGAGGCATATCGGCTAACATAACAGAAGTGTGTGTATGCTGAAACTGTAGAATAGCCATGTATGCACCCAGTAATTATGAATTTGTTTTATGGGAGTTTTTATGCTGAGGGCACCAAGTGACATCGTAACTTACAGCTTGTGTTTGAAATGTTACAGTCACAAAATAAAGTATATAAACAGAAGATTGCGTATATAAATAAATAACTTATCAACTAATCTGGGAAGTATTAGTTGATTTACTTTAGAGCTTCTGGTACAGTTTTGAAAAGCTGTGTGAACATTAAGCCCTAAACAGTCACACACATTAGAAAAATACACACAGTGTGGAGGATTGCTTCAGTCGTGGCCAGTCCGTGCTTGTTTTAGGGCCCCACGGGAAGAGCACTCCACTGTGGACTTAGCTTTTATTGCCACCCATCATCACAAGTCTACACACATGCCTGTAACACATTTGCAGCAGTCACTTCGCCCAAGTCGCCCTCTGGCACACTTTGGACCCAGGCTCTGTGATAAAAGTATGAATTAATCTCCTAACAGCGGAGTGGAAACATGTGTGTCAGTGTGACGCATTTGGATGTGCATCACTTCTAGCAGGAAGAACAGAGGTCCTTCGAAAGGAGTTACATCTTCCTTTGAGTGGAGCACAAACACAAAGTACCCGAAGGAGCCGTGCAGGTGAAACAAAGCACTTTGTATCTGGTGCTGAAGGCTGCACATGAGGATGAATGTGTTGCTATGGAAAAGAAAGAAGAGGCAGGAATGCTGAGTCAGCAGCAGGACCAGCTACTCCCCCCACGCTGCTCTTTTAGCCTCTGTTGCAGACTGTGCTTTGCCCAGTTAAGAATCTGTCAAAGCTGATAATTCCCCGTGTAAACTACTGTGTGAAAGTAGGTTCTCAGAGCCGGTAAAGTTGCCAAAAGTTGATAAAACTGTCCACTGTAGATATTGTGTTCTTGAAGGTGTACTTGATCCTGCTTCTTCAGGTTTATTTGCCATGATAAATCAGTTATTAAAGTGCTACATTACTGGCCGTGGTCAGGTTTCTGCCGCGTCGGTTGCATTTGACGTCCCCGCTATCCTCTTTCCTCAGTTTTTGTGCGCACATGAGATGGTGCAGAAATGTCTCCACTGCTGTTTCCCCTCTTTGATGGAAACAAAAAATAGGCTTTGTTTTTGAGGTTTTTTTTTTTTACAGCATAACAATTCTATTCGGTGAGATCATTTCCTCCCACCCAATGGTACAGGAGGTTCCTTTCGAAGAAACTAATCTAAGTTAATCGGCCTCTTGACAAAAACAGGCGTTGTAATGTATTTCCTTACATGATCAATCATATCATCATCTGTGACTCTTATCCTGTCAAATAATTGGCATACAAGCAAAATTAAAATAGAAAATGGACTGTCTGTTCAGAAATAATGTTACATGTCTGTCCAAAGAAGGAGGCTATATTTGAAGCATGCATAGCCACATTCCAGAAATACACCAACCTCTCAGCTAATGCTCAGGATGTAAATTAAAAGCGTGTTTGGTTGAGGTGGAGTGTGAGAGCTTTCCGTCACTGCAAAGCTGAAGTGGACAGCAGAATACAGAGGAAGGCAGCCACAACACCTGTTAATGCAGCTGAAATGAGCAGTCACTGACTTAAGGGAGTGGATACCGTCTGACCAAAGAAGTTGTTATCCAGAGACAGAGAAGTGGGTCCAATCAGTCCACTGCGGGACACGAGCGTCTCGTGTCAAAAGGCCAAACGCCCGGCGATGTTGACGGCGTACACAACTGTCGATGTGCTGATACTGTAGAAACATCATCTGGCTGTCATCAAGAATAATTCCACTCAAGGCAGACGCTTTAGGGATTGTAGCACCAAGGCTAAATAATCAATATGCCCCGCAGGTTATTTTGCAGTTGGAGCGTCACCCTGAGCTGCAGGAGCGTAATAGTATCTGATCAGACTCAGCTCCTCTGGCAGTTAACGCTTTTCTTGCTATGGATAACAACAGTGCAAGCTTTTGCATCGGTGAACTTTGCTTATGCTTGCTTGTCTATTTTCCAAATTGACAAAAAAAACATATAACAAAACAAAACAACATATTAATACATGTTAAGCTGTCTTCCTGTGATGAGATTTTATGAGACAACGTATATTTGAATGCTATTACAGCACACTGAACTGTGCTGTCAATCAGGAGATTTGAATCAACGGTTACTATCACTTACATAACACATTATTGATGACCTGCAGTCTGGGTTGAGAAAATGGCACTCAGCTTCTTTCCAGTGTATGTGCTTGTTTCCGTGCTCACAAGGAAGCACTTCAAAGGAAGCTGTCATACAGTTTTACTCAGCCTTTGTGCCACGTGTTGTTCCTGGACACTGGCCTCGAATAAATGGGGCAAATACAAAGCGATACATTTATAGAAACAGGAAGCACGGTGATGGTCTAGTTTTTCACAGGCTGCATCTAGCCTGTTGGAGAATGATTCATTTCAGAATGGCAGAGGAAAATCTTCAAAGAGCAGAAAAAAAATCAACTCCATGTAGAAACATTCTGTTTTGTAAAGATCTATTTGTTCAGATTAGTTTGATCAGTGCAAGTTAGACAACGGGAAGATTTCCTGTATGCGATCAAATAACTAAACTGTAACCAAAGATGACAAAGCTGACTCTAAATTGGCGGGTTAGACAAATATTGATGTATTGTTATATTTGGCTTTTGGATGAGCTGCCCGGGATCAGGACCCGGAGTCAACAAACCATTATCCATATTAGTGTTATTGCCTGGTGTTCAGTTTGTTCCGGTGCGCTTGTCCAGTTTCCATCAAAGCAGTGTGTCGCAAAGATCCCAGCCCTTGATCTTATACCTCACCTGTATTTACCTGGGGTTGATATGGCAACTCCCTAAGTTACCATGGCAGCCTACTGCATTGTGACGCCACCTGCTTTCATCTTCAGACTGACACACTGCTCTGCCCTGTCATTGCCAAGGATTAGACAGAGGTTCCAAGGCAGAAATAGCCTGCTTCCAGTCCCTGTAATAATCCTTTGAACCTGTCTCTTTTGTGTTCTAGCTCACCAGACACGACACACAAGACCATACCACAACCCAAAGTAAATTCATTGACCAGAAGTTTTTTTTTTTTCCTTTAAGGGAGATATTACCATTTGCTGAAATGAAGGTGCCATGAATGTCCTCATTTCCCCAAAATCCAATTACCATTTAAAACTGTCACATGAAGGAATGCAAAGAAAACACACCAACCCACCCCATCACCCCATTTCCTGCTTCCGAGCTCCATGCACATGCATACACACTGTCTCTGTCATGTGCATGTACATTCATTCACTTTCATTAGTGTCACAAACATGCCGATCCCCGCAGCAAACAACAAGCTCCCAGTCATTACCTTCGCATTATCCCTTCAACTCATAAATATTGAACACTATTGTCCTTTGCATAGACGCGCACACAGCTGAGTAGACAAACACAATTCATCTTCGAAAGTTTTATCTCTTCAAGCACACTTCTTTGTGCTTGTGTGTGTTGCTCAAACACGGATTGTTAAATGAGCGCACAATCACTCAAACATATCCTTTCCCTCTGTTTGTCTTTACTCGTTTCTCATTGTAAGCTCACCTGATCCTTTGTGAAGAGAATGTTTTTAATATTAGTTTGACCACAAAATGCTTCCTACTTCCACACAAACATACATATACATGTGTCCACAACCATTTAAGAACTATGACCTCTGCCTACTGGGAAATGTTAGAATTAAAGTAAGAAAAGTATATATGATGACATACATTCATGTGTTTTCAGGCTTGTATTTGTT